CGTATTATTTACCTAATTTTTGTATTCTATAAATTTAAATATAATTATATTCGATTAATTATTTGATATAAAATTGTATAGTAAGCAAAAGCAAGCTATTCAAACACTTGTAATGACTTGTAAGCATTATAAGCAGATATTACACTGTCACAAATTAATAAGTATGTCTTAACCTTGTAATTTAGGAAGTATATTATAATCACTTGTATAACTTGACAATTTATAAAATTATATCAGAAATTGCCAAGTTTTAAAAGTATTTTTTCTTGCTTATTTAACATTGTACTTTCCTTACTTAACCCCCCAGGAAGATTATAAGTAATTGGACAAATTTTATAAAATTTATAAAATATACAAGATTACAAGCAAGTATAATACTTAAGACTTTTTCGTGATGAAGGTGACAATGAGCAAAACGTGAAGATCGCCGTACGCGTATCGAAAGGTCTCCCATCTTTGGTATCGCCTCTCCACGTCCTGCAACGGCCCCTCGTCGTCGGGCACGTCGACGTCGATGTTGACAAGTCCGCGTGCACCACGTCCTCCCCCATTGTGTCTTCCATGTTATTGTCTTTTCTGCCTCTCTCTCAAAAAGGCAATGCCGTCAATGTCATTGTAGCTTTTTGACGCGGACCCTACTTAGGCGCCGTGACTGCCTTTTTCATGACTCTTGACTTTTCACATCCGGGCCCTGAATCCCACGGCCCAATTAGGGATGACCCTGACTGACCACTTATGTAATTCTAGCATACTGTGGCCCTTGTCATGAACAGAGTGAGAAGTTAGGAGGGGGGTTTTGGGGGGCTCTGCCACCCTAATTAGGTTTAGGATAAATTTGGGCTGTTAGGCTTAGGTGTTAAGTTGGGTTTTAGTTAGGATTGGGGGAGGGGAATATTTATTTTCTTAGGAAAAGTACTTTATTTTGACTTAGTGAAATGTGAGAGGAACTACATGTGGCCAATTGGAGCTAACTAAAAATGGGCTGTGGGACTCAGGGCCCAGATGCAAAAAGTATGTGACTCTTTTTCATTAGTAGTCCTTAACTTTTACCCAACATGTCTGCCAATAGGCATAGCTGTCTTCTGACCAAGGAACATTTCAACACTTGTGTATTCCTAGTCTAAGCCCTTCATGTGTCTCTAATTCATACCTCTATCATCCTCCTGCCTCCAAACATTGATCAATCTTCACATGTTGAACAACAGTCTAAAGCAATCAGAACATTACCAAAGTAATGAGGGATATTAATGTTAGCATTAGGGTTGTAACCACTGCATCCATCTTCCTTCTTCATCTCCTACTTCCCTAACACTATATCACGCTTCTGCATTAATATCAGCTAAGAAGCTGCTGATAAAGCTCAATAATGCCATACACAATATGACTCTAGTATGTAAACTTACTATATGCATTCCCAGACCTTGGTATCCACTATCTATACACAAACCTAAGTCTCTAGGCTGGCAGACACCTTGTTTTTTCACACCTGTGCAATTCTTAGCCCATGAATGAGTATGCATGCATACGGGTATTACTGTATCGGGATCGAATACAAAAACTTGGTCTGCATCTTCGCTCTCTTCCGCGCCTTCCATCGTCCCGTGCTCGCTCGGCTGGACCGGAACTCTCCCACGAACCACTATCACGAAAATTATTCAAAAAATACTAATAAATTGCTACTACATCTATGTCATTAATAAAAGACTAAAAATTACTCAATATACTTCTATAATGCTACTAGTGTAGCATACTATCAAATGTATAAAAGAAAAAACAAAATGAGTTACTCAAAATAAAGGTGTTGCAATTGCTTACAACCCCTATTCTTGCTCGTCAATCTTCTTTTACTTTTCTGCCTCCTTTCTTTGCTAAGGTCACAGCTAACTCTATTGGTGATTTCCATTTATAATCTCTCTGTACTGTTCATGATAGATTTCTACTGTGAAAATAGCATCTTCTCCTGTGTACCCATGTTCCCTTATCTCTCAAAGCTTATATACTTTTTGTCTCATTTCTGGTACACAGTTGGAGAAGCATTGAGTGTCTATTGCATTAGTAGTTCCCTGAACATTGCTGGACAGGGTGGTTTCTTTATTATAGATAACTTGAAATTACCCTGTATTTGTACAATAGACCAGCAGCCCTGGTGTTTCTTTTTAGGGACCTATACTAGGAAATATACCATACCATACCATACCTCCATATAAGTGAAACCTTTCGAAGCATTTACTCGATCATCTCGGCTTCCTACTCCGGGTAGAGTTAACACGAACATGCAGCCTTCTTCTCTTGATCATGTCTTGGGGTCGCTCATGAGTGAGTGTATTCGGCTCGATGGCAACATATTTGCACGGATCGATCAAGGTATTTCATGTGCAAGGCGACAATGAGCAGTGATTGGCACGCATATACGCACCAAGTCAGATATGTTTCGTCCAGGAACGAGACTAGTATAGGCGGAAAATTGCCAATACAGCATCAGATATACTGGCTCAATCTCGAACACTACATCACTTCCTAGAGACAGATAAGAATGTCTATTTTTGCTGAGACAATAACGAAGAGAGGAGAGAAGAAGAAAGACATCTGGGTCTGGCACCTAAAAGATATGTATTTGATGTAGCGATAATGGAAGGCAGACCTCAAGCTCGGGATGGACGAACAAACTCTGTCAGATATCTCGAGTTGTCATGGTGAATAACAGACCAAACCCACCTTAAGTTTGTCCAAAGTGCTGAAAGTCTCTTTTCCCCACTCGTAAATGTATATTCAATTTTATTGTCAATATACGTCGACCAAGAAATTGCTGAGATACACACGAAGGGAAAAATGATGGCAGAAAGGGTAACGCATTCTTTTCAGTCGTACACAGAACCAAAACCAAACCTCAAAACGAGTTTCGTGTTAGCATTATGCAATAGAAGCTCCTTTCCTAAGATCAGAGAGCTCAATAGAGCTGTGTTCACGATCCTCGCCATACATCGTGAGTGAAGGCCTCATTTGTATCGGGTTCTGCACAACACGTTCCGGCTCAATAGTTACATGCTGTTGATCAGTGTCATACTGATTACCCGCTGTATTTTCACCGACTGCAATTGAATCAACACACCTTGTCAACAGAAATGTAAACGCCTCCACTACGTTCTATATCCACAGTATGATTCGATCTTGAAGAAGACAGATGATGACTTGGCGTTCTGGTCCCACTTCTTTCGATGACACTGACGCGCCCAGCTATTCGGGCTTGAAGCATTTTTCGCGAATTAAGCCTAACGAGTGAGGAAAAAAAAAGGTGGGTCACAAGCAAAGTTCGCTAAGATCCAGTTTTACTAACATTGCCACTTAATCAGCTTGATTAGCATCTGCTCGACCTACAATTTATTGGGTCACGGACGACTCACGGAGTGTGTTCACATGTAATTTTGGCATGAGAAAGTGAAATGCTACCCTGATGCACAATGCAGGTTGAGGACAAACGTATACCAGCTTTGCAGATTAGATGAACAACTCACCAGTACCCTTTCAACGGATATGCGATGTATAGAGATATACAGATGGCTGTTGAGGCACATACCAGAAACCCACGATTGATCGAGAAGAAAAATAACCAGTATATAATATTCCTAGTACTGTATCCAACCTAGTTAGTAGTCATGCACATCCGCCAATATTGTAAATTACCAACGTTTTGAAGGATGTATGGTAGGAGGAAAGGAAATAACACATCGAGATCGTTGCCAGAGCGTCACAAAAAGTATCTACGTAAATTGCAGAAGTAGCGAAAATCTGGATGAGTGAATAAGTGTAAGCTTGATGGACAATCAGGAAGTAGCTTATTGCACCCTACCTTCCATCTCGGCTGTGTAAAAGATGAGAATTCCAGACCCGCTGCGTGCAGTTGATAGAGCCCGACTTTCCCAATGGATGATGACGGGTAGTAAGCACCTATAAGCTAATGACACGAATGGAGAATATGTGCATACCGAGGATGTCTCCTGAAATTCCGTTAAAGATTGAATAATATACTTATTTAGGATGGCTTACCAAGTGAGAACACAGAGAGAATGCTCTTGGAAACATTATAATGAGTTGAAGAAGTAACGGAGTATTTCAGCAAAATAATAACTTACTACGATAGCAGCGGCTAGGCGTCCAAGCCTACGTGTACCAGCTGCAAAAAGGTACCACAAAGATTGTAATCAGCCATTAATCAGTCATTTGCTGTCACTGAAGCATTTAGAGCTGACCTGCGTAGATGCGGCTTGCATAAAACTGTTGTGATCTGCAAACGAGCGAACGTGAGAAATATAAAAGCATGATACTACAGAGTATTAATCAATTTAATACTCACAAGAAAATATTTATTACGGATAGAAAGATTTCCGCATAAAATGTGCTATTTACTCGAGTTCAATATGACTTTGTAAAGGACTTAACTTGTACTGATTGATGTACCTTCTGATTGTATTTAAAGCATTTGGATTCCCCGCATTTGTAATCTTTGTGTTTCAAATGATTGATTATCAATCGTGCAAGCTTCAAAGCTGAAAGAAGCATGTCGCACCAGATAGTAGTACAAAGCTTCAGCAATTAATGCTGTTGTTGCCACGTCCAATGCACTGAAAGGGTACACTGTCAATGATTTGAAGCATCGAGACGAGACTGAAAACTCCTGACAGCATAACAAATACCTAATTGTTGCTTGAGTATGATTTAAGCCCAATTATCTGATTAGCTTACATAGATGTGCATAAACCATCCATCAGAATTGTTTGCATAATAAATGTATCCTTGTACAACTGCAACTCCTAAGAGACTGAAATCCCATTAGATAAAGACGCATAGAAGACGTAGCTCGACATACAGTGTAGAGACGACTAAGCCTGACGCGGGGATGAGGAAAATATAAGCTTAAAAACACGCAAGAGCTGTTTTTCACTGAACAACATACCCCAGTAGTCAGGACCAAATGTCAATGATATGTCTGGCATAGAGGGAGCAGAGGTGGACATTGTTATGAAGTACTAAGGGCCTAGCGGTAGCTAGGGGTCATAGTCTTTCGAGAAGGTTGTTAGACTGTTAAATTTGCACGAAGCGGCCTACTGCGGCGAAGAGAAGCAGTATCTGTGCTTCTACCACACACATTTGAAACTCCGCAAAAAAATAAAATAGAAGATCATTTACCAAACGTAGATTTCTGTCACTGCAAGGTTCAAGCTACTGTTAAACCAAATTTACTTGCAAATCATCAATTGTTGTCAAACAAAACATAAATAAGGTGCAAGGCTTCTGTGTATTAATGAAAGTCATCAATGATTTGGCTGAATCAAGACCTTTTGTGTGTCCAATAAACTTTGTTTACACAGACATTTTTGGATCAGGAAGGTGCATGTGCTCGTATTGCCTTGGCCACAGTGCACTGTCTCTAGAAGGTACGTTCAAAGATGACAGTAGCACGTCATGATGTGGTTACGTCTGGTGAGCGTCTACTAGTACCCTGTACAAAGTAGATGAATATTTCAATGCAGGGATCGAATACTGACGCACTGAATAAGAAATCCATTCACTATAGAAGCGATCAATCAGCATTGCATCATACGCAAAACACAGTAATCAAGACTCAGAGAAATCAAGAGGCCTAGGTAGCTGAATATCCTGATTTTATCAAAACGATCTATTACAGAGTACTGAGTCATCATGATTTTTCATTGCCTCCTTTTGCTTCACCCAGAATGAATAATGCCAGAAAAGCGACTGAGGATCTTCGCCCTTGTTTCACCGTTAACCTAGCGCAACACAGTCGACCTTCCTTTCTTCGTGTCAGTTGGTTCCTGAGAGAGACTTCATTCCGCCCTTCTCGGTCCATGACCCGTACCCGGTTTTTATCCTTCTATTTACAGACAGACTAACTTGATCCCGTGCCGGACGTGACATCGTATCTTCAAATCCAGCTACCCAACGCCACATGCACCGTCCATACCGACAGTACATCCGTCAAAGACGGACCACGGGGAAGTATACGCACTTGGAGTGCACCGTATTGGTCAGACGGCGGAGTGGAACTGAGTGAGTGTTGAACCTGGCCGTGAGAAATAAGCGACGAAGGCGGTAATGAACAAGCGTGAGAATCAACAACTTTCTTATCCTTTTCTTGTCCCAATCCCATGGAAGAGCACATAGGAATGAGATTAGGGTACGCAGAATTGCGAATACAGCATCAGAAGTACCAGCTCCGATCTCGAATATAACACCACTTGCCCACGGACGGATGGGATTCCTTTTTTCTGGGTGCAGCGTCTCTCGTGAGAATTTGCTCAATCTAGCTATGAACTTCCGCGACAGCTCTCGAGACTTTAAAATCAGAGAGAGGGCAAGGGTTTGGAACTCACTCGTTCCAGTGCTCATGGAAATAGCGACGAGGGAAAAGGTGAGGAGGAAAAGCCTCCAGATGCGACGAATAACGAGGGTGCAATCGAGGCAGCAAAGGTGGAAGCTTGGCATACTCGAGCATGAGAGAGAGAGGCCAAGAGTAACGTGGAGAAGGAAGATACTGTGGAAGATGCACCAAAATAATGACCAGCATCTTTATTAATTGTGACATGCACTAGGTACCATCTACTGGGTATTTTTGCGAGCTTATTCGAGCACCCTGAGCTAGGTAACAAACCACTCCTAGTTTAAGTTTAATATCAAACCGCTGAAAATTCTTCTACAACATTAGAAATATATTAAATCCTGAATATACAGACCAAGAAATCGTTCGAGCAAGACTGAGCCACGCTCAAATTGCCTAGTTTCACAAAGGCATTCAATAAATAACTCATTGTAGAGCATGAAAGGGCAAAAAAGGAGAGTGAAAACAGAAACAGTCGTGTCTCAACATGTGCAAGACTTGAACAAGGCAAGAAATGGTCTTGTGTTGCTATTACACGATGGAAGCTCCTTTTCTGGAATCCGACAGCTCAATAGAGCTATGTTCACGATCCTCGCAGTATGTCGCCAACGAAGGGCTCGTTCGCATCGTGTGTTGCGTTACACATTCGGGCTTACTCGTAACTTGCTATTGACCAGCGTTAAATGTTGATAACTGAGTGGATTTCTATTTAATCGAGACTTATTCGACTTACCTTATCAATAGCAACGAAAATGCCGCCACTGCGTTCAATATCCGAAGTGTGGTCCGATCTCGTGGAAAACAGATAATTATCCGATGATCCTGTTCTACTTCTTTCGATTATATTGACCCGCCCATCCATTCGTGCTTGAAGCATTTTCCGCGAATTGAGCCTAACAAGGAGAGAATTTGAATGAACAAGGAAAGAGCGGAGTCGACCAAGACTCTCAAAATAACTGCTACTAACATTGCCACTTAACCGGTTTGATTAGCTTTTGCTCCATCTACGGCTCATACAGAACAAGCAACTTACAAAGTGTATTCACATGCAGTTTAGGCATGAGAAAGTGGAATGGGACCCTGATAAACAGTTGTTAGAGCTATTTGTTAGCATATGCGTCATTAACACAGCAGTATCCTTTCATTGGATATGCAAGATACAGAGATATATGGATGGCAGTGGTCGCGCATACCAGAAAGCCTCGGTTGATTGAAAAGAAAAATAACCAGTTTATAATATTTTTAGTCCTATGTCAGTTTGGTGAGCATCAATGTACATCTATCATCATTCTCATTCAATCACCGACGTTTTGAAAGACGTATGATAAGAGGATAGGAATAACACATTGCGAGAGTTGCCAGAGCGTCGCATAGGGTATCTATATAAATGGCGGAACTAGCAACGATCTAGAAGAAAGAAAAATTCTAAGCATGCTCGATAATTGAGAACTCGCCTTTTGCCTACCTTATATCTTAGCTGTTGCAGAGATGAGAACTCTAGACCCAGTGAGTGCAGTTGATAGAGACCGGCTTTCCGGAAATAATTTGAAGGGTGATAAACATCCATGTACCCATGAGAAAAAATAAAATAATGGGGAACATGTACATACCAAGGATGTCTCCTGAAATTCCATCAAAGATAAGTATTAAAAATACGATTACTTAGGATGGCTTACCAAGTGCAAGCACAGAGAGAATGCTCTTGGGAAGGTTATTATGAGCTGAAGAAGTAACTGAGGGTTTCAACAAAATACAACTGAACTACAATAGCAGCAGCTAGACATCCGAGCCTACGAGTGCCAGCTGGAAAAAAGTACCACAACGTCCTTTAATCAGTATTTACATTTATTGCAGCATTCATGATTAACCTGTGTAGATGCGGCTTGCATAAAACTGTTGCGATCTGCAAATGAGCAGTGTGAGAAAAATAAAAGTATAGTACTATAGAGTATGTTGTAAATTGAGACTCACAAGAAAATGTTTATTACAGATAAAAACATCTCCGCATAGAACGTGCTTTTTACAGAGGTTCAACGTGTCAGTGTAAGAAAACAACTCGCGGATTGGCGTACCTTCTGATTGTAACTAAAGCATTCGGTTTACCTGCACTTGTAATCTTTGCGTTTCCGACAGTTGATTATATTAAATCCTACAACCTTAAAAGTGAAAGATGTAAGACCTACCAAATAGTAGTACAAAGCTTCGGAAATCAATGCTGTTGTTGCTACGTCCAGTGCACTGGGATGTTGGCCTTTTAGTGATTCAATACGTCAAGAAAATACCAAAAACTCCTAACAGCATTACAAATACCTAATTGTTATTTGAGTAAGATTGACTCCCAAATATCTGATGATCTTACATAGATGCGCATATACCACCCATCAGAATTCTTTGCATAATAAATATATCCTTGTACAAGCGCAACTCCTAAGAGACTTAAAAGATATGAGATGACAGCACATAGAAGAAACAGGTTTACACACAGTGTGGAGACAATTAAACCTGAACGGTTCAGGTTTACATCAGGAAAAAGTCACATTTCTTATAATATATTTTAGACTTTGTAAAGTAACATAAGTATTGTATGTATATTGTAAAGTAATTACAAGACTTGCAAATCAATTGTAAAGTTTGTATAAGACATGTTAATGTATATAAAGGCTAAGTAAGTGTTATGAATGAATACAATCTATTACAAGTATTATACTAACTTTGTATAATAGTACTAAGTATTATGCTTGCATTACATTTTTATTATAATTTCAAAGAAAGAATTATATTTATAATAGAATAATGTAACAATAACTATTGTTGCCTTATAATTTATGTAAAAGGTATATTAATATATATAATAGTGTAAGAGCACTTGTTATATTATTATTATCTTAATAAAAGTATACTATAAGTATATAATATGTATATTATACTTAGACTATCTATACAATAGTTTACAATATTTGTAAAGTTATTTCTATCTACTTGTAATAATTACATAAGTGTGTTTAGAAGCTTATATACTTGCCATTATTACTTTTTACTATATTACAAGTTAGATCAATTATTATTTATACCTAATACATAATTGAA